GGGCCGTTGAGTGGGCAGAAGCCGGAGCAGGTACCGGGGCGGCGGGTACGGGGGCGGCGGGTACCGGGGCGGCAGGTGCCGCTCACAGCGCACGCCCAGGCACAGTGCAACACCCTGCGTGGCAAAGAAACACAGAAACATCCCAGCAATGCCCTGGAGGAGGACAATATGAGCAGAAGGGCAGCGCCTGGGCGCGCTGCGCATGGGAAGGCAGAGCTGGGGGTTAGCGGAGCTGGATGCTGGGGCGCAAGGTGGCTTCTTCGCAGGCCCTTCTGTGCACTCGTGGCCACCGACACCCTGCACGGTGGTTGCACTTTGGTGTCACCGTCTCAGATTTGCATCCAGTCATCCTGCTGTTCGGCTGCGACGTGCCACCGAGCGCAAGTTCTTGCTTCTCAGGAGAATGAGCACTACGCAAACCTTCCTATGCTTAGGGTTTAAAAGCACGTTTTAAAAAACAGCCGGCAGTTCATTTTGTTCAAAGGAGGTTTCCAATCACTAATTCTGAGTGGGAACATAAGATCCGCAGATCCGACATATCTTGCTCAATTCCCAAGTTAGTTCCAGCTCCACTGGAAAGTGTGGGAAAAAAACAGTCAAGCCTTTGAAGTGAGGGTGCTCTGAAGCTCGTTTGGGTGATGAATTGCTAAACTCCAAGCCTTAAGGTAGCACAAAGACAGAAAAAAGGGGTTTTCTTTTGTGTCTATCATATCTAAATTCAGGCTATATTCTTTAAGGGACTACTCATGAGCTAAGTTTGAACAAGGAGCAGAATTTAGTAACAAGCCCAGGTGTGCCCACAGTTGATCTGTCATTGCAAGGGGTGTTCTGTGTGATTCGGGAGAAAGCTCCTCAAAGAATTTTAAACAAATAAGCCATTTTTGAACAAATAGGCCATTTTTTATTTTTGGCAGGGCAAATATAGGTGCTTATTTCTAAATTACTGTTTATACCACTGCAGTTTAAGACAACTGGAACCCTAGCATGATGTTTGGGTTGTGCTTTAGCCAATACAATATCCATAAGTTTTCACCTCCTTGTGGGGCCATGTGTATCTCGAGCAGTTTGAAGTCCAGCCAGTGGCCTAGACACCGATCGCCTAAAAGTGCTAAATTCCCACAGCTTGTTCTGAAGCTCGGGAGAATTTTATGGGCATTGCACCTGACACAGCTGAAATTTGGAAGAAAACTTGGCAAACGTTGAGAGGCCTTGAACAAACTCGAGTGCGTGAATGTGCCAGACTTGAGAGTGCAGATTCCCTGCGGGTATAGAAGAGAAGCGGGCCAAACACCTGGATTCAAGCACACTTGCTGAAATGGCACAGCTAAAACTCCAATCACAGCATTATGCCTTAACACACTTCTGGTCAAAGCGCTTTATAACTGTAGCAAAACCCTGTAAGACCCCTTGGGTATTGACGCACTCTGCAGACGGAGCCCTTGGACGATACACGCACGTGTGTTTGGGGCTGGGAATCCTGGTTTCATGTGCGGCAGCCCTGGGAACGGGATGTGCTGAGCATCCCTTTTGCATGCACTGCGAGGAGCACAGAGTATTATCCTGCGTGAGAGAACCCCAAAGTTAACAAAGGCCAAAACACTATTTAGCTGGAGAAAAACAGTCACATGAGAAGGTAAAATGCTTAATTTATTCCAAGAGGAAATAAAGCTAGGAAAGCATTTCAGACTTGGTCTTTCTGAAAAAAAAAAAAAAAAAAAGAATCTAATTTTTAGGCCAGATGAACAAATTGCCTGCCTAGAGAGCTCAAGAAAAAGGAACAAAAATATGCTATAAATATTCAGCTCTTGATTTCAGGTTTTAATAAGTGATGAGCTTTGGGAGACGCTTTCTTTCAAATATCAAATGACTTGACTCACTTTATAATTTGATTATAGAGTGTCTGTCACCTTCTGTTTGGGTGCAACACAACAGTCTCTAGCTTTGGACGCTCTGGCAAGACCTTCAGATCACAAATACCAAAATAACCCAGTGGTCCAAGGGCCTAAAGAGAAGCCACCCCTCCCTTGTGCAAGCTCATGTGTGTGCCTGCATCTGTCCCTCTGCATCTGTATCTATATCTATAAATAACATCTCCTGAACAGGAAACTCTGATTTGAAACACGATGTTCAAGGATTACTTGATCTATTTAAAAATTGTTCAGAACTTTAGTGACAACTGCAGACACAGTGTGATAGATATAAGCTCTCTCTGCTCGTATTCTGCCAGCAAAAAATCTTATGCATAGGGTGTGTTTGCAGTGTTGAGTTGGTCAGGATCTGTAGCAATGACTGAAAGGCTCCAGCAAGACACAGGGAGGGATGATCTGAGGGATGGTACTGTAAATCCCAAGCAGACTTAGGCCACTGTGTGTTTTTAATGCTCATACTGTGCTGATGCTTACCAAGAAGCCCATGGTGCTCCCTGACATGGTTTATTGGCAGTACCTGAGTGCGCTTAATTTGAATAATAATAGACCATCTATTGTGCATCAGCTCAGATCATCCTCCTGAGCACACTGGTAGAATAATTATAATTATAAGAAATAATTATTGCAGCAGCTTAAAATTTTCCCACGATTCTTCAATCTACTGAGGAGCATTCTGGATGGATGGAAACATGAGAGTTGGGCTCTCCAAGAGGTGGCTCTTAGGGACTCAAGGAAGGACACGCTGCAGATCCCAGCTGGTACACACACAGTGCACGGAAAGAAAGCGATTCAGCTGGTCATGCATTTGCTTGTGTTGTGAACTTGAGCCAGAGGAAACTGAGAAGGTGCAGCAAACCATAAATTCCCCTTGCTTGATAATACGAGAAAACTGGGCGCCACCAGGAGGAGGATGAAGAAGCCTCAGCTGTAACGGCAGGAGCATATTTGTGTATAATTGTGCACCCCCACCCTTCGTGAGACTGGCAGGAGCAATTAGTGATTGTAATGAGTTACATTTGCACATACCCACTTAAAAACCTGGAAGGACCATGTTCACTGCTCTACATCTGAAGCAAAATGTCCCTAAGGAAAGTGATGGCCCAGGAGAGTGCTCAAGTGCCCATGCGACCCCAGGCAGCAACGGGTCCCTTGGCGTTTTCAGCCGGGAGCCGTGGGACAGATGCAGCTCCGGTGGTCAGGGCAGCTTTGGGCGTGAGGGTTCCATGTTGAGCCCGAGGCGGAGGAAGGAACCGTCTCCAGCGTCCCCTCGACACATGGAGCCTGTGGATCCTCTCCGGCGGAGCAATGAGAACGGCCCCGCTCAGGCTCATGGCGCTCCCTCGCTCCCTGCTCCGCGTGTCCCAATGGGCAGTGGGACGAGGCGCGGGGGCGTGTGCTCCCTGCCCTGCGCGCGGAGCATTGCTGCTTTGCTCGTCTTCCCCGCCCCAAGGAGCCGTGCGGGCGAGAGACGTGGCCGAGCTTTACCTCGCGTTCGCGTGGGTCAGTCCTCACCCCCCAGCAAAGGCGCTTCCCTTGCACGCCCTGGGAAACCAGCTGTCCGGAGGCACCGTTTGCCTCAGCGCGGCGGCTGGGAGGCACAGGGCTGTTCCGCCTGTCCCACAGCAGCGCTCGGCACCTCATGTCTCCATGCTCGGAGCAGCCACCTTAGCAGAGGTGAAAGAGAAGGCCCCAAACACAACAGGATGTTGTGAATGGAGCAGATGGTCGTTTCTGCCCAGGTGGCTTCTGAGTTCAGGGAGCTGCTTAGTTTGTGCTACGAGGCTCTTCTTCAGCAGAGAAATCCTGCTCTGATGTTTTCTGACGTTTTCTCGGATGTTTTCTCTCCTATTAGAAGGACAACGCATCACCCTTTGGGCACAGCCCTTCTGCAAGAGCTGATCAGTACTGCTGTCCAAAACAAGCCTCAGTGGGTGTCCCCATGTCATGCATGTCCCCGTGTCCCCTTCTGAATGCGTTTATACATCACATACAAAACACCTACCTAGATCCTATGCTTCCTAGCACATACATCCTCCCGTTCTGATGAAGAATGATCCTTATAAGAGACTTAGGATGTTACATTTCTTACAAGTACTGCGAGGTGTTCGGATTCTGAATTGTGAACTTGTCATTTGTTCTGAACGTTGACATTTGTCCCCTCACTGCACCCGCTGTCCCTCCTTGCCCGCTGCTGCCACCTGCCGCCACCGCTGCCACCACCATCCCCTGCCCGTCGGGCCTGTCCCGTCGCTGCCAGACCGGCAGCGCTTGCCAGGAGGCACTTCGGAGCCTGGAAGCGGCCGTGTCCCGTGCAAGTGGCTTCGAAAAATCTGTTGGAAATTCTTCTGGAAAATGTGCGCAGTTCTCCAGCGGCGAGGGGACGGAGAAAAGGGAGCGTGGGAGAAAATGAAATCTCCAACGATGCCATGAAGTACCCAGAGCGGGCACGCAAGGCAACGCGCAGCAAGTTATTTGCTGGATTATAAGAGGAAGTAATAACTGCAGACAGTGTGTGTTCCCTGAAGCAAGTATTGCTTATGAAAATAATATTTCTCTAGTTATTTTTAAATAATTTCTAGTAACTTTCGGCTACAACAATTTTCTCAGTTCCCCAGCTGAATAACCTAGCGACCACCCGTGCTCCTGCAGGGCTCCACACACTGACCATGTTTGCTTTATTTCATGTTGAAGGTGACCCAAAATGTATTTAGAAATTCCAACAAATAGTGCTTGTTCCAAAAGAAATTCTGCCTAGCAGTGGGTGGCTCATCGCTTCATCACCCCCGGCACTTCAAAGTAACAGAATGAATAATTAAATGTGATTTTAGCAGTAACTATACTTTGTTCCTCGGAAAAATTTTATAGGAAACATTTGCCCATAGTAGAAATTATACATTTAAATTCTACCTGCTGTTTTAAGTGAGAAAATTCAGTTTATACTAAAAGATCATTAAATACTAAAATAAGCTTAACTTGGGGAATCTTTGTAAGGAAAGGATTTCTTTCATGCACACAAAAATCAATAAAGAAAACTTTTGGAGTCAAAAATAGTACATGAATAAACACAGAAATGCGGCAAAGATAAATCCTGACCTACAGACCAGTCTCAGAACCTGTACTAAAGGTGACTTAAATACACATATAACCCACTATTTACTATGCCATATAGTCTATATTTACTATAGTATAGCCTGGAATATATTTTATTCTGTGTTTGCTATACTGTATAGTCTCAGTGAGGCCAGGAGGAATCCTGTGTGGAAAATGGTGCTTTTTCTTTCCCTGTTTTTGTATTTGTTTGTGTTTCTTGCCAGAGCAGGCGCCTCGAGGTGGCCACGCAGCAGTCGGGCAGCCGGGGCAGCCGGCACCGGGAGCAAAACCCAGCTCCCAGCTCTGGATCTCGGCCAGCTGGTTTTCCCAAGATGGGAATGCTCGATCTTCTTGTTTCTCTTGGAAAGAGGACGAGGGTGTTTCTGTGTCAGGCAGCTGCAACATCTGAGGAACGTTTGGAGCAATTTCTCTGGGATCGTGGGATGCTGCGCTGCGGCAATCAGAGAAAATGGTTCCACAGGAAAATGAAAAACCTGCAATACAAAATGGCCCAACCAAGCAGTCGCACAGCTTAAAAATAAGAATAAACCTTTCAAAGCCTTAGCTGAGTGAGGTAGTTTAAATGCCCATTCTGATAATGTGGGTTTCCCGCGCGGGCAGAGCCGCTCGCTGGCTGCGCTCCAGCTCTCCAGGTGCTCTGCACCTATCGGAACCTCCTTCTGCTTTGAAAGCTGCTTGGGTTTTTATAGCATAGGACTGGGAAATGATTATACTCACTGCAGAGGTAGCTTGTACATGTCCTGCGCATGTCATAATTAATGTTTTTATATTAAATACACTTCTTAGCAAAGAGCCCCCCTTTTACTCTACCACTTATTTCAAACTGCAGTTGAAAATCACTTCCGAGCATATTCCGTTCCACTCAGGAATGCTTCCTGAGAAAGGCCAGCAAATATGGTAGGAAAACCCAAAGAAATGCTGAGGGTTTTGTTATAGGACTCTGCCTTTTCTTTAGAACTTGTCCTGTGAAATGTCTCATCCAGAGCAACTCCCTGGCCTCAAGCAAGCACAGGGAGCCTGTGATGACTAGGGCTTCCATCAGGGCCCTGCTCCTAAGATCCCACCTCTTCCAAAATCAGTTTCCCCTCCTCTAAAGCTGCAAGTTGGGAACTAGAGGGGAAAAAAAAAAATGAAACCCATGCTGGCGTTCTCATATCTTCACCAGCTTTCAGAGTGGGAAGCTTTAAAATATATAAATACATATATATACACAGAGATAGTGAGGTGCCCTATATAGTAATTAAGAATTAGTACCAGCCACAGGAACTGGTGCACCTGGAAGGCATTTCGCCATTCACCAACCTGCTTGCAGTACAAATGGTTGGTTGTTTTCCCCATTAAGATCCCAAGATAAGGAAAAGCTGGCAAAGGCCAGGAATGCAAGCTGTTAATGAGGTGTCCTTCACTGGGCTCCACTCAGCTTGCTCCAAGAATTTTCAGCCAACTTGCTCCCCTTCAGGGATATACAAAGGGTCACCTTTCAGCTAAGAGAGCATCCTTCAAGCGGAGAGCTTTTATGTGCTGCTTTAGCCCTGCAAATCCAGGCAGGACACGTGCTATTTGTAGCTGCTTGGAAACTGGCCCATGCTTCTCTTCGACTCTGGGAGGCTGATGTTGCCCTGGCTGCATCACACAGGTCAGCATCCTCTCTCTTCTGACTACTAATGTTTCCTGATTTTAATTTCTCTGGTCAGAAAGCCAAGACAGCAGAAGGGACCTGCATACAGTACCTGGTACCAGTGTCTTGCTGGTGGCATTTGGTTTGACTCTCAGCATCCTTGATGCAGTACTACTGTAAACATTTACTTCACCACCAGCTTTTGTCCTTCCTGGCTCCTGCTGAGCTCTCAGATGTGTCTAAGTCCCTGGTGGTGACTCTCAAAGCACAAATGTGCCATGATACAGACTACTCGCCCTTATGCACCCTGAACGTCAGCGCTGGTGCCATTGCCCCTGGCCAAAACAACGAACCGTTCTCTCTCCAGAAGCCTCCACAGAGATGGCTCTGATGAGGCTTGATTCTGCCTCGGGTCAAAGCAGGCTTTGCAACAGCCTCCCATATCACAGCTCTCACCTCTGACAACCCTTGAGCTTGGCCAAGGTGGATCTGCGAAGGCTTTTTCCTGTAAGGAGCAGAGCGAGGCTTTTGCTTCTCTTTGGCAACTCGATACTGGCCCGAGGCTGGATTCAAGCAGGGAGCTGGTACCTCCCGGATGGTGGCACTCATGGGGGGACCAGGGAAGAGCATCATACTCATGTGGGGACCAGGGGAGGGTGTCACACTGATGTGCAGACCAGGGTGGTGGAAGAGACCTTTCTGTGAGGCCTTTGCATTACAGATCGAAAGGGATAGTGAAGGATTGAGACCGTCCCCT